AAAACCACTTCTCAAGCACATAATAGCCCCTCCCAGTAGTTCAGACCTGTAAAAGATCACTTGAGCACAAGAAAAACCGCTCGAGCAAAGATATCAAACTCTCAGTAGTTTTGTAGACTATAAAGATTACTCGAGCGCAGGAATGGTCGCTCAAGCGAACAAACAAAATTCTGGGCAACAACTCTTTGAAAATTGACTTCCAAACATGTTTCAAACACAACCAAAACTCCCAATAGCTAGACTCAACAAGTATTATGATGGAAAAGAAATGAACAACAGTTAAGTACATGGATTCTTGGATCCAAAAGCAACAAATGGGTCAAGTCTAAACCAAAATCGTTATAACAAGGAGATTTCTTCTACAATCATGGCCAAATTTTCCATCTTAGGGTTTGATGAAATCCCAATCAAGTAACTAGCGTTTTATATTTCTTCTTAAGATTGATATGTTATGATGATGATTGTATAACTTTTTTAGAGTTTTTTTGCAAATAATTTCTTTATTCAACTTTTCATGTATTTATGTGATATTAAATACATAGTTATATAATGGTGGTTTTTGTGCATATATTGAAATTGTCGGATGAGTCATACCTAGGGAGGACAAAGCGTGTCTATGACCGTAGTTTAGCATAGACAATTTGTGCCAGCCAATGATGATTCATGCCCGATGTTTGAACATATAGCGATGTTTTTGGGGCTTGTAGTCACAATACATCATTATCATCATGGTAGTGATTTCTGTGTAAGTGAATTAACAAGCCCTAGTTAGGAGATTGGTGGTGGATTTAATCACCCTAAGACCTTCACTTTCATCTTTAATCCTAATTTTACATTGCTTTAGATTATTTTAGTTCTCAATTAATTTAGTTTTTCTCATTTGAAAATCCTTATTGAATTAATTTAGAATTGATTTATGAAATTCATAGTAACTTTACAGTTCTTGTTGATCAACATCCACATTTAGTCACTATTCTACGGATTCGTGCTATTGTGAGGTTTACAAATATTAAAATTGTTTTTGCTATACTAAAGTAAGCCATCAATTTTTGTTCTGAGTAAGATCAAGAATTTTGCATGGAAAATGTGTTTGAATATTTTGCCAGTTCGATCAAATCTCCGCCAAAGGAACATTGTGGATTGTGATATCTATGCTAGGTGTGGCAATGGTGTTGAGACAATAGCTCATTGTTTTCATAACTGTGAATTTGTGGCCGAAGTGTGGAATGCTTGTCCACTATTTTTTGTTTAGCAAATTGAGCCTATCTCGGATCTGTTCCAGTGGGTATACTGATTAATGGAACTACATAATGAAAGCATGTTGGAATTGTTTTTCGCAATTTGTTGGTGCTTATGGTTTGATCGGAATTCACTCATTTTCAATAATGTTAGTCGCAAAGCGGAGGAGATTGTGCGATGTGCAAGGGACTACATTCATGATTATAAGCGGGTTTTGAACATCTCTAGTGCTCCTTGTGTCGACGGTTGGGCCGCTAGTGTGCACTGGAGGAATGTGTTTATAAAATCAGTTTTGATGGGTCAGTCAAGCAAAGACTTTCATGCGGCTGGTATTGTAGTTATTGTGTTGAAGCTCTAGCGGCGATGCATGCTGTGCAATTTGCTAAGGAACTGTGTCTATCACATGTCCATCTCGAAGGTGACTCAATTCATGTAATCAATGCGATTCGTGAACCAAGGGTTGCTCTATCTCAGTTTGGTCATCTTGCTTTGGCTACTCACCATTTGTTGGCTGGGTTTGTGTCTTTTCGGTTAGTCAGATATTCTGGGAAGGAAATTTTGTAGCTCATTGTTTAAGCAGATTAGTATTTGATTTTGTGGGTCTGCAAGTTTGGACGAAGGATGTTCCACCTTCGCTTGACCCCGTTGATTGTAACTAATGCTAGTTCTTATTAATATTATTTCTCACTGTTCTTAAAAATAATAAAATGAGAATATATCTATACCTACCATATATAAAGTGAATACCTTATGATATCTTGAAATCTTAAGTTCTTATGCGGCCAAGTATCTATGTTTCTATTTAAAAAATAATAAAATTAATAACATGAAAGAAGTGGGACTTGAACTTTAAATATTGAGTCAAGTAAGAAAAATTCTTACCACTTGAGTGACACACGTTATATAATAAGTATTTTATTTTATTTGTACTTATTTAAATTACATACACATTGTGTGTATCAACCGCCAGTATATATATATATATATATATATTCCCAAACAGCAACTGTCGCAAGGTATGCTAAGAATGGGCAAGCCTTTGGACTGACTGAGTTTACAAAATTCCCAAATTGAGTTCAACCTTTGATTTTAGGGTAAATTATTAATAGGTCTTATTTTTTAGATTTATTATCCATTAAGTTACGTTGATAAGTTTATTAAATGATAAATTTATCAGTCTCGCTTATTTTTATTAATAAATTTATTGTGAATCTATAAATAAATAAGCCCAATTAATAAAATTGATTGGTAAGTGTCTCTTGATTTAATGGCCCAAACAATTGGGCTTTGGGCTTACTGGCCTATTAACAAAGTCCGAACTAGTTACCAACTCATCCCTTTGAAACCGATTTGTCAAGCCCAATGCGTGGGCCTTTTTTGTTATTCGATCCTTTGAGTATGCACCTTTACACAAGCTATTCAATCTTCGAGACAAAGCATTCTCATATGCATCGTAGGAATATCCTGATGGAACATAAAAACCTCATTAGAATATATATATATATGTATGCAATTTTATCCAAAAATGTTTTAAAAGGGTACGATATTCTTACTATAAATTATCTAGTATCCTATCTCATTCTCTATTTCATTCTTTGTTCGATATTTATCTCAAAAAATGGTTGAGATTCTGTTCTCAAATTTATATATCTCTGTATCCTTAATATATTTTTTAGAACAATTATAATCATACTCTTCATTTTTCACTAGGTAAATATAAAAATAAAAATAAAAATAAAAATAAAAAAAATATGTTCTTTATTTTATCTAATTCATTCATTCTCCCTCATCTCTAACGCTACTCTTTATTTTACTTACTTATACCCACAAACTGTTTAAAAAGTCTTTTCAACACATACCATTATTATCAAAATATTAAACTTTAAAATAATATAATTTTTTATTTAAATGCCGATTTTTAATAAAATTAGTATTTTTAAAATTCTCTCATCAAGATCTATCAAATAAGATTCATATTGACTATGAAATGCTTTATAAAAATATATTTAAAAAAATTATTACCGTCGAAATTAATATAAACAGTAACAGTAACATATTATTCTATTTGACAGTAACATGTTACTCTGTTTGACAGTAATATGTTATTCTAACAATATTGTCTTAAAAAAAAAAAAAAAAGATATTTTACTTTGTCATTACTCAATTATGTGTTTTCTCCTTGAGGGATTTATGAAACAAAATAAATTGAGCTATTCTTTTCACTAAATAAAGGTCCAATGGAAGGGTTTTGGCTAAATTTCCCTTCCTCTTTTTTTTTTTATTTTTTATCTATATACTTCAACACTATTTTTTTATTTTACCTATCATATACACAAACTGTTTAAAAAGACTCTTAAGGCTCTTCAAATGCAGTTAGCCTTGACAAATTTTGTTAATATAACTATTGTAATAGTTAGTCCATTAAAGTGATTAAAATATGCTGATGCTAACTATAATAACCAATATGCCTCATTTAAAGAGTCTCTTGGAGATACTCTTAGGGGTTGTTTAGGATATCCTAAATAAGTATACTTTTTGACTTTTTATTAAATATGGGTTGGGTTTGGGTTAGGTTTGAAGTAATGTGTTAGAGAGGTGATGCGACTTAAATAGGATAGTGACTTTTTGACTTTTTTTAAACATGTCAAACCAGGCCTTAGTCAATCATTTGATATATATATATATATACTATTATATATGTAAGCACTGACTTGGTATCCAAGAGTGTGGTGGCTTCTCCTTTTGTCACGTGGCAAGTTTTTATATCCTAAGATTAAAAAATATTATTCAAAAATGTGAAGAAGATTTGAACCCAAGAAGACCTTGAGTTTTATTAAGAACACTTTTACCATTTAGACAACATACGTATTATGATATTAATTTTTTTATTATTTATTTTTGTACTTATTTATCTAAATTACACACGTATCGCGCATGCTATCTGCTAGTATATATATATATATATATATATATATTTAGACATCATAATTCTTTCTTTCTCTCAAATGTATTCTAAAAAAGATTTGAACCCAAGAAGACCTTGAGTTTTATTAAGAACACTTTTACCATTTAGACAACATACATATTATGATATTAATTTCTTTATTATTTATTTTTATACTTATTTATCTAAATTGCACACGTATCGCGTGTACTATCTGCTAGTATATATATATTTAGACATCATAATTCTTTCTTTCTCTCAAATGTATTCACATATCAGTGTAATATGAAAAACTTATTGACAAACCAAATGTTAACACCATTAGGTGCTTGCCATCTCCAAATTTTCATTCTTTCTATTAAGTTTGGTTTCTAAGCTAGCAAAAAGAAAAATATTAAAATTCTAGTGGTAAATTTAATCATTCACATGTCATAGCTCTGTTTGGTAAAAACTTAATTAACAACTTTAAAAATGGGTTTTAAAAAATGCATTACAAACCCAACTTTAGAAGAAGAGGGGAAAAAAATCAAAAAAGTTCTAAACTATATTTGGAATTTTTTGAATAGAAAATAAGCTGAAACTTTAAAATATTTTATCAAATACCTTATATTTTTAAATTTTAAACTAAAATAAGATGTGAAGAAATTTCACGAAATGGGCCAGAAACCACTGTTGCCCAGAGAGGCCAACTTTGAGAGGCAAGGCCAGCAGAAACAAAACCCAGTTGTTGGCCCATATAGAGGGCAAAAGAGTGGCAGTCAGTGACAGTGCGCCACACGGAAACACAATCTATTTTTAACTTAACCCTAGTTAACTCCGCCACATCCAGCCGCGGCGCTTATATAAGCCAGCTTTGGGGCTAGCGTCGTCTCTCGTGATCTTACAGAGGTGGGTTCTCTTCGTTTTGGGTCCCCCTCTAGATATTTTCGTTTTCTTTCTCTTTCTCTTTCTCTTAGGGTTTTGATACCCCCAAAATATCTATATCTCTCTCATCCATGGCTGCTGAGGTTGAGTACAGGTGCTTCGTCGGCGGGCTCGCATGGGCCACCGATGACCATGCCCTTGAGAAGGCCTTCTCTCAATTTGGAGAAATTCTCGAATCGAAGGTCCGTTTGTCGTCGCAGAGATCGGATCCGAACCGATTCGGCTTTGCTGACTCCTGATCTGTTCTCTGTTACTACTACTACTATTCATCTCTGGTTTTATGTGTTGTTGATCTGTTCTCTCTGTTAACTCTCTCTCTATATGTTACTTTTATTGATCCCCTTAAACGGTACGTTCATCTTCTTCTTTTCTCGAAAGATGAAGATCGATCGATCGATTTTGAGTTTCAGTTATAGTTGTGTATCTACTTTGATTTTGTTTGTTTGTTTGTATGTTATTGATCTTTGTAGATCTGATCGATTTATGTTTGATTTGGTTTTTAGATCATCAACGATCGCGAGACTGGAAGATCGAGGGGGTTTGGATTTGTGACATTCAAGGATGAGCAGTCGATGAGGGATGCAATCGAGGGGATGAACGGCCAAGATCTTGACGGTCGTAACATTACCGTCAATGAGGCCCAGTCCCGCGGAAGCGGTGGCGGTGGCGGCGGTGGCGGCGGGTTCCGCAGCGGTGGTGGCGGCGGACGACGTGATGGAGGTGGCTACAGCCGAGGCGGCGGCGGTGGTTACGGCGGCGGTAGTGGTGGTGGTTACGGAGGCGATGGCGGTGAAGAGAAAGATAGAGGAGGTAGTGGTGGTAGAGCTTCATTGTTTGCTTCTTCTTTGTTCTGGTGTATTGAAGTTGTAGGGGAGGTGACTAGTGGCAACGGGTAGTGGTACAGAGGTGGCTGGAGGTAGGAGAAGGTGGTTAGGGTTAAGGTTTTCAGAGTTAGGGTTAGATTAGGAAAGAAGATGATAGCGGAGAAAATGAAATTTTGGACAAATGTATCTTCTTACTAGGGGTGGGCACGGATCGGTTGCGGCTACGGAACCTCCAATCCGCCATTCGTCCGCCAGATTGGAGAAAACAATCCGCATTCGTCCGCCAATCCGGCGAATGTGGATTGAGCGGATTGGCGGTTTGGCGGTTGGATGCAAGTCGGTTTGGCGGTTTAAAATTTTATAAATTTCAACATAATTCAACTTGTGCACTTCCTCAAAAAAAGAAGAAAAAATTATTATAGTCAATGACTTAAAAAAAAAATATTACAATCACTGCATGCCTCATCCAAAGTAAGAAAGTTTGAAACTTTAAAATATAGAAATATGTGTACGAGAGACGAAAGAGAAATAAAATAACAAAAAATATAGGGTTTGGGGTATTATAGTCATTTCTTATCAATAATTAACGGCTTTTTTTTATTTTTTTTATCAGCCAAAAAGTAACTTTGTTGATGAATAAATAAACAACTATTTGAATTACAAAAGCAAAGATGGGGAAATGCAAAGAGTATCACAATAGATCTATACTATCCCAACTATGTTGGCACTGCATGACCTATTCAATTATATGTTAGCACATCCCCAAAATTGGTGAGAAACCAGCAATACAACCAAGAGAACAAACACAGAAGTAAAACAAAGCTATAAAAAAACAAATAGCACACTCCCTGGGCCAGTCCCATTAGCATAACACTCCTACTCAGTACATCACAACTCCTCCCAAACACATCCTAATCTGTCTCAAGTTGAGGATGAAATTATGAGTTCTAAAATGAAAATCCTTCAAGAGTGGTTTCAACCACAGAGTTATTCTAGTCTTAATCAACTTACACAGCTCAATCAGGTTTGGATTGGTTGCTTTGAAAACACACTCATTTCTATGCTTCCAAACTAACCACAGGACAGCCAATGGGATAGCACTCCATATCTTCCTCTTCATCTTCTTCATCTTCCCTCTACCCCACCATAGTAATAGATGATCCATAGAGCCAGGTAATGTACCTTGAACCTCCCACCATTTCAGCATTTCAACCCAAACATTCCAGACAAAAGGATAACAAATTAAAACATGGTTCACAGATTCAATGTCACTCTTGCAAAACACACGGACAAGTCACATTCTCATTAAGAACACCATCTCTTTGTAAGAACTCAGTTGTCTTGATTCTCTTTTTCCAAGCTAACTACCCAAATTTGCACCTTAGGAGGGAAGAAATTTAGCCAAACCAACATGCTAATTCTGAGAGTTGGGCCAAGATTATCCACAACAAACTTATACATTGATGCTACAATGAACTCACCTGAATAGATGCTACCCAAACAGTCCTATTTACATACTCTAGTCTCATTGTAGGTCCTGCTGTTAGCTGACTTAAGAGATTCTGAAGCTCCAATTCCTCCTACACGTACAATTCTCTTCTGAATGATAGATTCCATTCACCTGATACATTTTTCCGATCATAGATTGCTCTCAAGGAATCACTTTTCTCTAAAGACAATCTATAGAGGCCTGGAAACTCATCTTCAAGCATAGTGCCTAACACCATCTATCAGTCCAGAAGATAGTCTTTTTCCCATCCTCAACCTTCAAGTGAAAATTATTCAAATAGAACTCTTGTAAATTGTTTCTCTGCTCAGCAATAGCTACAATTCCTTTCCATACAACTGAGTGGTTACTGGTAGGATTGAAAGATGGCATTAGCTTCCTATCTCCAACTTGTATTTGCTACATATAACCCTCTTCCACAGAGCTTCATTTTCACAACCAAACCTCCACCACCATTTTACTAATAAGCAATTGTTAACCTCTCTCACCTTCCTAATACCTAGCCCTTCTTGCTCCACACTTTTATACAATTCCTCCCATTTAATCATATGGATCTCTCTCTTTAGTTCTAAACCACCCCACAAAATTGTAGCTTGAAGCCTTTCAGATTCTTTAGCTACCCCTTCAGGCATCCTGAACAAAGACAAGTAATACACTGGTAATGAAGATGTTACAGTTTTCACAAGTGTGTAACCTCCCTACAAAGGACAGTTGAGCTTGGTTGTGTCTATGACTAAGAAAAGGTGTGGGAATCTCTTTTGATGAGTTCATTTGGCAATACATGAGAACATGGATACGATGGGAATTTTGCACGCAACTTGTTAATATGACTTAAACTGTATATGTAATTAAAAGGCTATAATTGATTATTTTTAGTATGAACACGAACATAATGCGGCAAATATAACTTGACCCGACAGCACAACTATTAAATAAGTTGTGTTAGAGTTAAACATGCGTAATCCAAGCATGACCCATCTAAAACATGTAAAATTTTGTGTCAACACGTGAACACAAACTCATATTAATCTGTAGACAACTCAAATGCAAATAAATCTTCTAGATATAAGATATAAAGTGTTCGGAAAAATTACACGGGTAGTTCATGTACCTTATCTCTTATGTTATTTTGGTCCTTATACTTTCAATTTGCTTGATTTTATCTTTGAATTTTGAACTTTGCATCAATTTTGTCCAATTGATAACTTTTGCTAAAAAAAATTTGAGGGTAAATTATACAAATAGTCTTGTACTTTATACGATGTGCCAATTTGGTCTCTGTTGTTTCAATTTGCTCGATTTTGCCTCTTAATTTAACAGATTGTGTCATTTTAGCCCAATAAATAACGGTTGTTAAGTTTGGTAGATGGAAAGTCAAACTATATGTCAATTTGGTCCCTGTAGTTTACAAGAAATTTTTATATGCAGATAGGGTACCAAGTTGTCATGTATATGTGGTACCTTTAACTAATAACATATTGACAGCAATTCTCTTTGTCAGAGAACATTAACAATCAATCCACCATAAAGTAACGGAAAGTTTACCTTTCTTAAAAATTCTCTCTCCTTACTTACCTCTTCCTTCTCTCTCATCATTCAAGAAACTGACTTTACGCTTCACCTTCCCCATTCACAAAAATCATTCTCAGCAAAAATTCCATGGAAGTAGTTTGAGCTCTTCCACGCCTCAATCTCATCACTTTCAAGTTGGCCCCTTGTACAAAATCAATTTCCTTAGATGTGTGGTTGACCCAAATCAATATTTAAACCGATAATCTAATTTACATCACTGACGTGTAAGTTTTCAAAGGATTGGAAGCTTTAAATTCATTCAAATAATCTAAATCCCAAATTATCTATACATATTGGATCTATTTAGTTTGGTTTTCAAAATTTATAATTTTAATATAGTTTTAATCTTTTTTAGAACTGAAATAAAATTTGAGAATTTAATGTATGTACTTTTTTTAAACTAGCATTGTATAAAATTGTCTAAATAATATTTTTATTATTATCATTTTTTATTCCAAAAAAAAAAGAAAATAAAATGAATAGTATATAATTGTCTTTTGTATTATGTTAAGTGTTTCAAAAATGTTCAAAGAAAATAATTACTAAAATTTGTTACAAAGAAGGTAAAGAAACAAAAATACTCAAGAAAGAAAAGACATTAGAAACACAAATTTCATTAAAATTCAAATTAAGCCATGGAAAATGTTACAAAGCCAAATTAACCTTACAAGATCGTCATCGAATAAGCAATACAGAAGCATAAATTAAAACACAAACCAGAATTTTTGTAGACAAACCAAAAGTTCATGAATTTTACAAACATCAAGCTTAAAAGAAACCAAAACTATATTGTTCTTCACTAAACAAAACCCAAAGAATTTGTTCTAGTTGCATGCTTAAAGAGAGAAACTACAGTCTTCTTTAACATCTTCACTCAAGTTACGCATAGTGGGAGAACTTTGATTTCCTGTAACACTAGTGTTACCGTTTAGTGACCCCTGCAAGAATGTAAATAATACAATTAGATTAGTTATTATATTTGAAAATCAAATATATTGTAATGAGCTAAATATTAAAATATAGTACCTGGCTCAAATGTGACATGGAGAATCTAGATTGTAGCATAGTAGTAAAAGGCATATTCATGTATACAGGCATCTACATTTGCATTAAAGAAGTAATATACTTTAAATAATATAAACTAATTAAACAAAATGAAATTAAGTTGTTTTTTTACATGATGAATATACCTCCTGGACAATTGGAATATTTGTTGTTGGCACAAAAAACCTTGAAGGTCCTATAACATATGGCTGCATTGCGGTATCTAATAATAAATAAATAAACATGTGTGACTATCATTGCTTGTACCAAAAAAAATTAAATTTTATATCTCCAAAAATATAATTTTATTTACCTGTCACAGCAGTGTGTAGTGCTTGAGATTTACTTGTACCCACCTTTTCAACTTTTCTTTTTTTCCTCTCCAAAACCCCCTTCATTCTACCATATGTCGGTCCTTTCTTTCTTAGCCGAGGAGGATCCTTTATCGAAATATCAAAAATTGCTAAAGTTGCATGTCCATCATCTTCACATGTATCTCCACCACTTACAGATGCATTATGTTTTTTAATTTGCTCAAAAGTACTATCCATGATCCTATCTACAATCTCACTTGTGGCATCGGAATTAGAACATAAATTCATGAGAGCAAACACTTTAGGCATTAACCTATTAAGGCGCAATGTTTTAGCTGAATTACCATTATTATCTTCTGCTAATTTAGAATGCCTCTCCCCTACACAACCCTGTTTTACATCTTTTGTCCATCGCTCCAAAATATACTTTTCAGGAATTTTCTTCACATTATTCAAATTGAACACTCTTAAAGCATGGCGACATAACAATCCCAATGACTCAAACCGTTTACAACTACATGAGATTGAACAATCAGATGAGTCGAAGTTCAGATAGTACTCTAAAGTACCATCCTCTATTCGCATCTTATACATTTCCAATGTCCCATTAGAAATGCATTCAACAACCATTAACT